TCAGACTTAAGTTATTTATTTCTCGACTACTGAAGTGCTTGGCAATTGATTTACATTGTTGTTCAGATCATTCTGAAACCCAGAACAAAAATATGTAACTGCCAACAAAGAATTACATCCTAAGGCTACTGCACAACAGGAGATTGGCTGGTCTCCATCTGAGCATGGTTACACGATAGATAGGAACCCATCAGCAGGGCTTCCATTTGAATGCTAACTCCCTTGCTTCAGTCAAGTCACTTAAGCTACCTCAACTTCCCCCTTAACTGTAAAATCAAGACAATATCCCCTACTCTCATGCAGTTATTTTGGGGATTCATTAAAAATGTATAAGAAGCATTTACCATAGTGCCTGGTAAGTAATGGCTTGATAAACTGTAGCTATTTTCCTCATTCCAAGTTCCAGCTTTACACCCTACACACTCAATACGTGCACATACTAACGTTGCAATGATGCCTGGTATTTTTAAGGCAATTTCAAAACAATTTATCATGAATAAAAGTCATTGGGAAAAAATTTAGTATAAGGCACTAACAGCTGTACAAATATTTGAGGCCTTCAACATATGCCAGGGTCTATTTCTATATATGTTACCAACAAGAAAATTGATAAAATATTTTATGATAATCAAGTCTCATAGTAAATGTATTGAAGGCCATCACTCAATGCTCCCTTCCCCCTCTTACATTTCAGGCATTTATTCAGGCATTTGCTATGGCGCTTACAATATCATCTACTTTGTATTTATAAAATATTTTTAAAATGGGTCTATAGCCCATCTCAACCCATATACAATCCTTCGGGACAAGGATTTGTATCAATTTTTGAATTCCCAGGGATTAGCCCATATTAGGTACTAACTATGCTTGATGAATGACATCACCAACAAAATATAATTGGGCGATCATCTGAATCCCTACCGTATACAATTTTTTTTTTAACAAGCAAAGTCAAGTCACTAAAAAAAAAAAAAGAGGCCGGTGCCGTGGCTCAATAGGCTAATCCTCCACCTAGCGGCGCTGGTACAGCGGGTTCTAGTCCCGGTCAGGGCGCCGGATTCTGTCCCGGTTGCCCCTCTTCCAGGCCAGCTCTCTGCTGTGGCCCGGGATTGCAGTGGAGGATGGCCCAAGTGCTTGGGCCCTGCACCCCATGGGAGACCAGAAGCACCTGGCTCCTGGCTTCGGATCAGCGCGGTGCACCCGCCGCAGCGCGCCAGCCGTGGCGGTCACTGGAGGGTGAACCAACAGCAAAAGAAAGACCTTTCTCTCTCTCTCACTATCCACTCTGTCAAAAAAAAAAAAAAAAATGGAATTTCCTTTTACAAACAGGATTGAAAAAATACTAAAAGAAAAAATCATGGACTGGAGGCCACGTCACCTGACTCGGTGGAACAGGTACTGCACCTCCACTCTGCGTCACTTCTTGCCTCTGTTGGAAAGAAGTCAAGGAGAGGATGTGGAAGACGACCACAGAGCAGAACTGCTGAAACAGCTGGGTGACTACAGGGTGAGTACAAGCAGATCCTAAATTCACCCTGGTGAGCTGATGGTTTCAAACAGAAAATGACCCATTCTACCCTGTCCTCCACGTCTGACATCATCCCCACACTGTCTTGTCTTGAGGTAGCAAGTGCTATAGAAAAGGTCCAAGACTCACATCTGCATACAATGTTGTCCAAAAAGAGTAGCTGCATGCCAATAATCCTATCAAGTGTCCTGAGATTCGCTTTGAGATTTTCTTTGCTCATATGCCCATCCCTCTTGATTACTGTGGCCAAGGGGATGGAATACCCTGAAAAGTTTAATCTAAATTCTGAATTACCAGAGTAACCAGCGGCTGTCAGAAAGAGAAAGGGAACAATGACTGGACAACTGGCATCTTACATAAGTATAAGTAAAGCAAGTAAGACAAAGATTAAGTCCCTCTCCATTTTCTGTATTGCTAAAATATAGGTGAATAGAAAACATCACTAAATTGAATACTATATTAAGAATTGTATACAATTATATAGCAAAAAAAAAAACGAACCTTACATCTCCAAATTTCAGTAACACTTTTTTTCTCTCCTCAGTTCTCGGGATTTCCCCTTCACATGGCCTATTCAGAAGTGAAGCCCTTGATTGAAGCTGTATACAGCACTGGTGTACATAACATTGATGTTCCTAATGTTGAATTTGCTTTAGCTGTATATATCCACCCGTATCCCAAAAATGTCTTGTCTGTTTGGATTTATGTTGCTTCCCTTATACGTAGTAGGTAATATTTTCATTATACTTTTATATCATGTAAAAACTAAGTGGGGTATAAGAATATTTTTATATTATATTGATATCAAAAGGAGTAAAATACTTGAAAATAATGAAATAAAATTATATATTTTCAAACTGTGCAAAGTGTTTTTTTAGTGTTCATTTCTCTACTTTGACCCTAAGTTCAACTGAAACTACTTGCTGGAGGATACATTACAAGCATCACGCATCTAAGGCTTTAATACTTGCTTACCTCTAGCCTGGACTCCTTCTTGCCTTTTCAGTGCAGAATGTACTGTACTTAAAAGACTCAGTAAAACAACGCTTCACAACTTGTCTGGGGAAAGGAGGAACCGTTTTGCAGAATCACATTTTTAACGAGTATCTCATGTTACTCTATGGAAATATGGAACAAGCGCATCCATGTGTGTGTATCCACTGTAACAATGTAGTATTTTAGTAAAAACAGGAATATTTATCCAAAGCAAAATAGTTAAGAAAAAAACAAACTGCCATGACTTGTGACAGCACCACAGTCCCAAAAGTGCCATGTGGAAACTCTAATCCCCAGTGATGGTATTTGGATAGGGCTCTGGAAAGTAATTAGGTCATGAGTAAAGCCCTTATGATGGGAATAGTGTGCTGCTAAGAGACAGAACAGAGCTTGTTCACTTTTTTTCTCCCTCTCTCTTTGCTATGTGAAGTTTAATGAGAGGATGACCATCAAACTGCCCACACAAGACACTGGATCCTGAACTTGATCATGGACTTCCCAGCCTCCAGAACTGTGAGAAACAGATGTTTATTGTTTCTACAGTATTTTGTTACAGTAGCTCCAACCAAGACAAATTCATATACTACCAAGAGATTAAAAAGGGTCTGGCATTCCTTACTGGTGCCAGTTCATATCCTGGCTGATCCAAAATAAACCAAATATATAATGTCTCATCAGTGTCTAATTAGCTCCTTTATATAGGACAATGTATATAACTTAAGAGTATGCGTCTAAGCAACTGTGGGCGCAGGGTAAGGTAGCCAGTAGAAAACAGTGAAATAATGAATTCCCACAAGACAGTGAATTCCCACAAGACGGTGTGCTGACATAGTGAAGTCAGTTTGACTGACTGCCAAAATGGTTTATTAACAGGCATTTCGAGTACCTAGGATCTCTGAGGAAACTAACTGCTTGGAACTAGTGAAGTTATAAAGGACAACATTTAAGACAAGCCTTGAAACATCCTTCAATCATGATCTGTTTCCATACAGGTTACCAAAACTTCCCTCAACAATATTAAATTGTTTTCTGATCACAAGATAAACGTAAGTACTCCCTTGATGACTCGTGGCCATCAGTATGGATAAGCAATTTTATCATACAGTTCATGTAAATACAAGGTGAAGCACATGGTGGAATGAGACTCACCTCAGAAGAATTCTTGTAGTGTGTTTTTCTCAAAACAGTCCCTAATATCAACTTTTCAAATAAACTTTATTAAGCAGTTAAGGAAATAAAAATACATAACTACAAAAGAACCAACCTAACAAAATAAACTTCTGATCCTGTAACTACTCAGTTCAGGTTCTTTTCTAGTTCTCTTAGGGAATTAAGAACTTGTTCTCTCCTTTGTGGCTAGATGTAGTGGTGCCATAAAAGACACAACTACTTAAGCTTAAGAGAAAACAAATCAAAAGCTACAATGGTCTAGTTATACAGTGCCCCACCCTAACTGCAAGAAACCTCCAAGGCTCCATCTTACATTTTGCAAATGTTAACAGCAATGGAATCAAAATAAGAGAAACCTTAGAGCAGGGTAAAGCTGCAAAGAAATCTTTTTTCAAAAAAGATTTCAAAGTCAGAGTTACATAGAGAGACAGAGATCTTCCATCTGCTGGTGCACTCCTAAACTGGCCACAATGACCAGGGCTGGGATGGGCCAAAGCCAGGAGCTTCATCTGGTTCTCCCACAGGGGTGCAGGAGCACAAGCACTCAGACCATCTTCCGCTGCTTTTCTCAGGCCATTAGCAGAGAGCTGGATCAGAAGTGGAGCAGCCAGGACACAAACCAACACCCCTATGGGATGTGGGCATCGAGGTTCACAGCTTACCCACTACATCACAATGCCAATACCAAATATCTTGCCTAAGTTGATCCTACCTTGAAATGCAGAGAAGTATAGAGTAGGCTCTAATTGTTACTTTAAAAAGTTTTCATGAATTCTTTATATTCCCATCAAATGACTGTTCCTTCTCTAGACAACACTGTCCAAAATAAGAGTATTCTCTTAGCCTGAACTAGAATCAATCTGTCTATAGTTATCTCTCTCCTACTCATTCTCTCCCAAAATAAAACAAAAACATACCTAGGGCCACAAAGAACCTGAATGCAAGATTACTTCCTCTTGGTGGTTTTGCATATACTTATAAAAACAAATGCCTGTTGCCATTTTCCTCTTCATGACATAAAGTTACACAGAGAACATAAACCTGACCCAATATGTGCTTTTCTGAGTGGTAGGTCTCTACTCTCACGATCTTTTCAAAAAGCAATGAAGATAAACACAAAACTTCAAATTCTGACTACTGAATACTTTCAAAAAAATTCAGTTCAACAAAACTTAGTATTTGTCTAAAACATTATTTGTCATGGTAATGATTTCATACATGCCCAGAAGACAAAATATTTAGTCTTATTTTACAGAAAAACCTAGATTAAGATTTATAATAAATGACAAAAAAAGACATTACTTGGTAAAGTTTTCAAAGTAAGTTTTATTTATACATTTCTTCAAATGATTGTAGGATTTTTAAAAATCCCCCTCAAATTTGACAATTTAGGAACAGTGATGGGAACCAGGGGTTTTGAAGAAAGCAAATAGAACAGATTGATGCTATGTTAGCTCATTGAGCTATCACCAAGAAGCCAATTTACTGATAATATAAACAGAATCTCTTATGTGTATGTTTGAATTGGCCCTCTGAAAATTGTCCAAATAAAGGAAATGTTATGGAAAAGAGATTAGTCTCCCAAATGTACAATCTTTGAAAATAAAACTTCAGAAATTTAAGTCTTGGAAAAAATCTGCAAAGCTTGATGTACAGTGCTTATACATAACAAGAACCAATAACTCCCTTTAAGTTTAAAATTCAAAATAACCTTAAAAATACTTTAACTGGCATGGTATTAGCAACATTCTTTTGAAAGTATTTCATTTAAAAGAAATCTGATACAATTGTTCTAACCCTTATGAAAACATCTAATCCTTTTCTGAAACAAAAACGTAATTTGTAAGAGAAACAACACTGTACAATTCACTAGTAATTAAGATTTCTGAGATTGTAGGAACAGGGCCAAAACAAGTCACACTTAAAAGGGATGGTTAACACAGGAAATGTGCTGTAAGTAAAGTGCATGAAAGGAAGCCTGCTCAGCTAAATGAAGTAGACAAAGGTCAGGAGTCAAGGGTCATTCGCCAGAGCGGCAGCAGGCTCGAAAACCACACTGCAAATTCTGGCATCCACTGGCGGTATCAGCGTGAGGACCTGTATGAAAACAGAAAAATGTGAAAGGAGGAATTTCTCAGATCACATAAAAGTAATTTTACTTATGAGGGAGCTAAACATGTATTTCTTTACTAGCAATACACTTACATTACAGAAGTAAAATCTCACAATGGGTACATAAAAAGTTAGTCAGGGAAGAAAATATCACCAAAAGCAGTTTGACTTTGGTTAATATATCCTTTGTGGTCCAAAAGGTAAGTGGAAAAAGCGAAATAATTTTTTTGGCAGTAATCTTACAAGATAAAAGTCCAAGAAAAGGAGACAATCCACAGAAACAAGACTGGAGGTCAATTTAACAACACATTTTATAATCTGAACAGTCTTCCTAGAATCAAATAAGGCAAGACAATCCTGTTAATAGATAACCCAAGAACCCACTATTGAATAATTACAATAAATTCAAAATTTATAATATAGAAAAATAGGCTTAACAATGTTTACCATACTTTTATTTAAACATTTGAAACCAAAAAAAAAAAAAAAATCATATGGCAGGATTAGATGAAAATGTTTTTACAAAGTTATAAGTGACTAAAAATTATCTAAGGCATAATAAAAATGTGATGCACTTTCAAAAAAGGAGCAAAACATTTGTAGAATAACTGAAATTTTATTCTAGTCACACTGTACTACCTAGACAGTAGATAAAAGCTGCGTTAGTGAACAAAGCTGAGAATTCACAGTATCAAAGAGGTTTCACAGCACATACTCCAATGTTAAGTACTTTGAATAAATGAGCTCTTACAGAAGCAAGCAACTGTGGAAAAGGCTGTTTCAACTAAGTGAAATCTTTCAATATGTCTGCACTAGGAACAAATAAAGAACAGTTTATCAGTGCTTCACCTACGTATTAGAACACAATTGTTTGAGGCCAGCGCCATGGCTCACTTGGCTAATCCTCTGCCTGCGGCACTGGCACCCCATATGCACGCCAGATTCTAGTCCCAGCTGCTCCTCTTCCAGTCCAGCTCTCTGCTGTGGCCTGGCAAGGCAGTAGAGGATGGCCCAGGTGATTGGGCGCCTGCACCCGCATGGGAGCCCAGGAGGAGGCACCTAGCTCCAGGCTTCAGATAGGCATAGCACTGGCCATGGCGGCCATTTTGGGGGTGAACCAATGGAAGGAAGACCTTTCTCTGTCTCTCTAACTCTACCTGTCAAATAATTAAAACACACACACACACAATTGTGACACAGACAATGAAAAATGAAAAAGTACACAAAATACAATTTTATTACAGAATTATCAAGTGAATTGTAATTGAAAAACTTTACTTCTCTGGAATGATAGCTAGTTTAACTCAAACTTATTTTAAATTCGAGGGCTTTTTCTTTTTTTAATTTATTTACTTGGGGGTCACTTACTGTGGCATGGTAGTCAAGCCACCATTTGCAGTGCCAACATCCCTTATGGGTTCCAGTTTAAGTCCCAGCTGCTCCACTTCTGATCCCGCTCATGTTAATATGCCTGAGAGCAGCAGGAGATGGCCCAAGCACTTGGGCCCCTAAGTCCACGCGGGAGATCCAGAAGCAGCTCCTGGCTCCTGGCTTTGGGTTGGTCCAGCTCCGGCCATTGCAGCCTTCTGGGAAGTGAACCGGTAGATAGAAGACTGGTATCTCTCTAACTCTGCCTTTCAAATAAATTAGTAAATCTTTAAAAACAAAACAAATATTTCATTGAAAGGCGGAGGTACAGCGAGAGAGGAAAGAGAGCATGAGCTCTTCCATTGTGGGTTCACTCCCCAGATGGCTGCAATGGCCAGGACTAGGTCAGGCCAAAGCCATGAGACAGGAGCTTCATCCAATTCTCCCACATGGATGGCATGGCCATCCTCCACTGCTTTCCCCAAGCCATTAGTGTGGAGCTTGATTGGAATTGGAATAGTCAGGATGTTAGCAGAGCTTTACCCTCTATGTCACACCACAAATCAGGCCCTAAATTCGTAGCTTTTTAAGGTGGCACTTCTGCCAATAATACCAGAAGGAAATAATTACTTGCAACTAAATGCAAAGATAAAACTTATTTCCAGAAATTTAACTTTCCTTGTCTTTCCAAGATAGCATAAATGAAGTAACAGGACAAATTTCTTAAAGACTGAGTATAATATTCACACGTCTCACTATAGAAATGACAACACATCTTTAAGAAAAGAAACTAGGGCCAGCACTGTGATATAGTGGACAAAGCCACTGCCCACAGTGCCAGCATCCCATATGGGCACCAGTTCAAGTCCCAGCTACTCCACTTCTGATAGATGGAAGCTCGCTTGCTCAGTCTTGCTCGCTCTCTCCTCCTCCTTCTGTATTTCTGCCTTTCAAATAAATTATCTTTAAAAAATAAACTAATGGGGCCGGTGCCACGGCTCACTAGGCTAATCCTCCGCCTTGCGGCACCGGCACACCGGGTTCTAGTCCCGGTCGGGGTGCCGGATTCTGTCCCGGTTGCCCCTCTTCCAGGCCAGCTCTCTGCTGTGGCCAGGGAGTGCAGTGGAGGATGGCCCAAGTGCTTGGGCCCTGCACCCCATGGGAGACCAGGATAAGTACCTGGCTCCTGCCATCGGATCAGCGCGGCGGCCATTGGAGGGTGAACCAACGGCAAAGGAAGACCTTTCTCTCTGTCTCTCTCTCTCACTGTCCACTCTGGCTGTCAAAAAATTTAAAAAAAAAAAAAAATTAAAAAAAATAAACTAATGAACCTTATACATACATGTAGAACTGCTATCGCTCATGATTTCATTTGTTTCCAAATAGTTATAATTAATTTTAAAACTAATGATGCTGGGATTAGCTTTAAATTATCGAATAGGCAATGGTAACAGATGAAAGAGGGCTGACCAGAGTTATAACTGCTAAAACTGCTGGTACATGAAGACTCCTTATATTGTTTATATTTTTAAAACTTTCCAACAGTTTAAAATTATCTTAAGTGTAAAACTGAAATACCATAAAGCCTATTTTTATTTAATGAAAATAAATATATGTTCCATTTTTAAATGAAAAATATGGCAAATATTTAAAGTTCACAAAGCATTGTTTTTGTGAAATTATTTCCCCTTAAAATAGGACAGTGTTATGTCATCTTAACCACAAAGTCAAGATAACATTTTTTGGTACATGCCATTAACTATTTATTAGAAATGCCCTGATAAGGAAACCTGTGTTTTGAAACTCCTAACACCATCAGCTTCTGACCAGGTGTTCCCTTTGAATGTATTTCCAGTTTTACCTACAATGCAACCCCCACTCCCTGTCTTTCCTCATTCCCTACAGTAGTTACTGCTTTGCCCATCACGTAGTGCCTGTTCCTACAGCCGGAGTTCTGCCTCACTAACGTGCCCCTGCCTTGAAACCTAGTCCAGGACAAAAGGCCTAGATTGCTAGGTTTTGTCAAGAAGTATCTGATCTATAATTTATCAGTGTGTAATTATTCTAAGTTTCTTTTTAAAGGGAGAAATAAGGAGAGAGAGACATGGAGATTTTCATACAGTTTTCCAAACTAAGACATCCTAAAACACTTCAAAATGTCTATATTCTCATTTTTTTAAATGGCAGAAAGGTTAAGTATGCAACTGATTTACAAGGGTAAAAAGTAAAAGGGGACCTCAAAGAAGCAATTGGTCAAGGAAGACGTTCTCCTGAGATTCACATTTACCCAGATCCATACAGCTTTGAACTATCCTCACCCGAGACTCTGAGGCCCAGCACCCTCAGTTTCTACCCTGGTTACCCGGGTCACTCTGCATCAATGTCAAATGGCTGGTGGTAGAAATAATAGGGGAAGAAAAGCATGGGAGTATAAGTCTGCACTCTAAGCTAGGTAGAAAGCTAATAATCTTGCTGTCAGCAGTTCCTTCTTAATCATAAAACAAAACCTCAGCTTTCACTGATATAAAATGTGCCCTCTGCTCCAACTATGCACCAGAATATCTGAGTTCCAGTGGGATTCTAAGTGTACAGAGAAGTAATTAACAAACTGGTATTTCCAAATTTGAAAGTAAAGTCTCTCTAGAGAAGAATATTAAACACCTCAGAACTACAATCCTGTACTGAAGTCTGGAACAAAGCAATTACTGGTGTCTGATACTAATAATCATGAAACTGATAGTACCGATGAAAGGATTTTATTCTACCAAAGGCCCAAAGCAAAACCAAAATAAAGACAACGACTGAAAGACCCTTAAATATCACAGAAGACTGCTCAGAAAACAAACAAAAAAATGGACAACAGACACAACGAGGCAGCATTAGAGAGAAATATCACTAGGATAGGTCAGGTTGCCGGGTGTATCAAGTAGACAGCTATGCTGCCACAGATACTGACAAAAAGCAGTTCCTTTAAAATACTTATCACCAGCAGATTTTTATCTCAACACAGAACTCAAATGATTATAACATGAGGAAGAAATTATAAAGAGTAAACAAAATAGGAAAATAAAACTGCATAAGCACTAAATAAAATCTTTTAAAATATTAAGTGAAAAGAACTGTAAAGTTAGCTAATATCTCCCCCAATTTTTATTATTAAATGACTTGTTTTTCCTGGGTTTTAGGTGCTGTACTTTACTCAGGCTATATATCTGCACTTACCTTCACTTACCTTTAATTCCTCTTTAACTTAAATTAGAAACATAAGAGAGCAAATCATCTGAGACATCCAAAACTATGAACTAATCTATCTTAATTCATAAATTATAAATACATTGAATGCAAATATGTACGAAAGTTTATTTGCTATCATTGTTCAAATGTTATTCAGAGCACTAAAACTGCTATTACAATTAACACCTTAAAATGATAAAGAATGTTTTAAATGTTACAGCTAAGAAGGCTTTTAGATTCAAATCCTTATCAATTAAATAGTAAATTTAAAAGTTATAAAGAATCATTCAGAACATTCAAAAGTTGCACTTCCTATGAGTGCTTAGGATAATGGTTTTTTTGCTCAGGATAGTTATTTGAATCGCTAATGACAATTGTCAAAAATCTCTATTAGTGCTAAGTTCTGCTGTCCTTATCATTTACTACTCAATGACTAATGTTTCTTAGCATTTATTTCCTTTAATTAATAACCTGATTAACTATGTAGATTTTCACTTAACAAAACACATTTAAAGGCTACTCTCAAATATTTAAAATATAATTTGGCACCTAAATATGCTTCCTCATTACTCCACAGCCTTGTATTAAACAGACTACTTTCAAAAATAATAGTAATAATAGAAAGAGTGCCAAAGCAAGCCATTAGGCATTCACTAAATATTTATAAGCTAAATTGTTTTGAAATTATGATATCTTGCAAAACTAGTTACAATGCAACTGTAACACTTTGTAGCTTGTCCAACGTCCTTTTAATGAAAAGATTATATCAAAGCATTAGCCGGAACTCTGCAACACAAGTAACAAGTCACCTAGCTCCCCCAAACCATACAACAAACTATAAAAGGAGAATGAATATTGGGTTAAACAAGCATTTCAATTTCCATTCAAATCTTTCAAAATCAGATCACTTCATTAAAATTTATTTATTAAAAATTACCAATCATTTACCAAAACAAAAATCGTATATTTAACAAAAGTAATATAACAGCTCCTTTGGAACACTTTAACATTTACATATTCAAAACAGATTAACATGAAAAGAATACTGACAGTACAAAAGATTTTATATATTAAATTTATCCCATCTATATTACTTCAAGAAGTTTAAAAACACAAACACAAAACAAGTAACTAGGTCATAAAAATGAACCGATATTCAATGCCGCACCACCCGTAACTCCTATATATCCCAAAATAAATATAATAAATTAGGTTATTAGATTTATTCCCAAATATAACCTGTGTTGAAATCAATGTGAACAATTCAAAATTCAAATAAAATGTGTTTTCTTATAAAAGTGATTGCTTAGTTATTATTATGAGTACTTCAAAAAGTTTATAGAAAGTGGAATTAAGCATTAAGTTTATTTTGCTGAAAATTTTTTTGTAAACCCATGCATAGTCTCTTCCAGGCCAGCCCTCTGCTGTGGCCAGGGAGTGCAGTGGAGGATGGCCCAAGTGCTTGGGCCCTGCACCCCATGGGAGACCAGGAGAAGCACCTGGCTCCTGCCATCGGATCAGCGCGGTGCGCCGGCCACGGCGGCCATTGGAGGGTGAACCAAAGGCAAAGGAAGACCTTTCTCTCTCTCTCTCTCTCACTGTCCACTCTGTTTGTCAAAAAAAGAAGTACACTGAGGCTACAATAATACAACTTCCTGTTAAAACAAAAAACCTTTTACTTATTTGTTGAACTCTATTTAGTAGAGCCATTAAGCCTTTGACCATAATGTAAATTTAAAATGTTATCTCAAAAAATAATAAAATATTAAGTTAAAAAAACACAAAAAACTCTTATCAAACCAACTGCATCCACAAAAGTAAGAGCTATGGGGCCAGCGCTGTGGCATAGTAGGTAAACCCACCGCCTGCAGTGCTGGCATCCCATGTGGGTGCCGGTTCAAGTCCTGGCTGCTCTACTTCTGATCCAGCTTTCTGCTATGGCCTGGGAAAGCAGTGGAAGATGGCCCAAGTGCTTGGGGCCCTGCACTTGTGTGGGAATCCCAGAAGAAGCTCCTTTGGCTTTGGATCGGCTCAGCTCCAGTCAGTGCAGCCATTTGGGGAGTGAACCAGCAGATGGAAGACCTATCACTTTCTTTCTGCTTCTCACTCTCTGTAACTCTACCTTTCAAATAAATAAATCTTTAAAAACTTAAAATTAAAAAAATAAGTGCTACACTACATTTTGTTTTTGCCAACTCAGCAGTTTGCATCTAAAATGGCAACCATCTTCACCATTCCTTGACCATACAGTGAAGTCAACAGATATGTTTCAATTTAGTGTTGATGTATAGGAATAAAAGTAGTCATCTCCTGCATAACATTGTGATTTCCAAAATATTAGAGTTGTCATCTCTGATCTCCTTATATATTCTAAGGAAAATCTAATTTCTAAGAAATAGCAGATTTGGGGGCCGGCACTGTGGCCCATGTGGATGCCAGTTCGAGTCCTGGCTGCTCGACTTCCCATCCAGCTCTCTGCTATGGCCTGAGAAAGCAGTAAAAGATGGTCCAAGCCCTTGGGCCCCTGCACCTGCACGGGAGACCTGCAAGAAGCTCCTGGCTCCTGGCTTCAGATTGGTGCAGCTCTGGCTGTTGTGGCTAATTGGGGCATGAACCATCGGATGGAAGACCCCACTCCCCGACCTCTCCTCTCGCTGTGTAACTCTGACTTTCAAATACATAAATCTTAAAGAAAGAAAGAAAGAAATAGCAGATCTGCTAACTTCTCTATCTCCCAGTACATCACTATTCTCTCTTATCTTCTTGGCTCCTATCAATTGTTCTGAGAAAAATTCAGCTGATTTTTCCATCACTTGAAGATGAAGTGGGTTCTCAAAGACAATAGTATATAGTATAAAAACGTGCACAGGAGAATCTGGGCCATCTGAATTTTCTCCCAGCACTAAATATAGGATGCTGAACCATTTACTAATAACTGAGGAACAGCTTGTAATACTTCTGCAAAATTTAGTGTCTAGCAGTGACTATAAAATGCCTAAAAAGTACTGAAAGCACTTTCAGAAAGCATATTCAACAGGACCACTGGATGGTAGGGTAGTCTTGAAAAACAAAACAATGACCCAAAAAATCACCAAGAAATATGTTTTTTAAGTAGGTTCAGGAATCAAATACTATAGGAATTTTAGTCATGTCTAAAGCATATCAGCTTTTTCTCAATACCACACTATCCTTCCCTCCATCTTCGGTAAGATTTATTTGGAATCAGGCCCAGAACTCATAAGGAGTTCACATGATCAACGCCCTCCTTTTTTTACTGCACTTGATAAAGGTGTACCACAAAAACTGAGTCTACTGTTCCAGAGAAATCAGTGCATCTAGAATACATCTGAACTTTTAAAGAGCAAACACTACAGAAATTCCCCAAAACTTTATAAGTATTTCAGTATTTCCATAAAACAAGCTACCATTTTTAATAATTTAATTACTACATGACTCAAAAACCTGACAGAATGTACATATGAATAGCTATCTGAAAAGAAAAACTTACCTTTCAAGATACTAATCAATGAATGCATGGCTATTTTATCAAATTTAAAGTACTAAATCTGAAAGCAAGACACTTGAATTAGAAACCTTGAAAACTTAAAATCATCAAAATTATTAGAATTGCTAAGATACTTTAAGTTTAAAGTATCTCAATGTTAAAAGGCATTACCGTTAATGTTGTCACAGTAATAAAAATATTCATCATTTAGAGAAGGGCATGCTGAAACCAAATCCTGCAGGCCTGCACCAGTTACAGTAAGACAACCAGAGAGATTAAGGTGCTCCAAATAAGGCAGCCCTCCTCCCAGAGTCAAAACCCTGCAAAAGAAATAATTCAACAATTAGAATATGTCACTCTATGAAAATTAATGTACTCCTATTAGCCACTAGACCACTATTTTACATGTTTTGATTTGGTAATGAGAAAATACAAGAATTTCTGATAACCAACCTTATTCTTGGGCAGGAATCCATTTATTTTTAACTTTTATTTAGTAAATATAAATTTCCAAAGTACAGTTTATGGATTACAATGGCTTTTCCCCCCCATAACTTCCCTTCCACCCGCAACCCTCCCATCTCCCGCTCCCTCTCCCATTCCATTCACATCAAGATTCATTTTCAATTATCTTTATATACAGAAGATCAATTTAGTATATAATAAGATTTCATCAGTTTGCACCCACACAGAACATAAAGTGTAAAATACTGTTTCAGTACTAATTATAGCATTAATTCACATTGGACAACACATTAAGGACAGAGATCCTACATGAGGAATAAGTACACAGTGACTCCTGTTGTTGACTTAACAAATTGACACTCTTGTTTATGGCGTCAGTAATCTCCCTAGGCTCTTGTCATGAGTTGCCAAGGCTATGGAAGCCTTTTGAGTTTGCTGACTTTGATCTTATTTAGACAAGGTCATAGTCAAAGTGGAAGTTCTCTCCTCCCTTCAGAGAAAGGTACCTCCTTCTTTGATGGCCCCATTCTTTCTACTGGGATTTCACTTGCAGAGATCTTTCATTTAGGTCCTTTTTTTTTTTTTTTTTGGCCAGAGTGTCTTGGCTTTCCATGCGTAAAGTACTCTCATGGGCTCTTCAGCCATATCCGAATGCCTTAAGGGCTGATTCTGAGGCCAGAGTGCTGTTTAGGACATCTGCCATTCTATGAGTCTACTGTGTATCCCGCTTTCCATGTTGGAGCGTTCTCTCCCTTTTTTATTCTATCAATTATTCTTAGGTGTTTAAATTTAACTGAAAAGTGATCTCTGTTAAATATAAGAGTGGGAATAAGAGAGGGAGGAGATGTACAATTTGGGACATGCTCAAGCTGACTTGCCCCAAATGGTTGAGTTAGAAACATGCCAGGGGATTCCAATTCAATCCCATCAAGGTGGCATGTACCAATGCCATCTCACTAGTCAAAGTGATCAGTTTCAGTTCACAATTGTGGCATAGCTTCTTGGCTCCCAGCTCTGGCATTGGCCCTAGCTGTGATGGGTTGGAGAGAGAAGTAGGGATGGAGGAGTATTCTCTGTGCTGTCTGATCTCTCACAACAAAATTATGAAGTAATGTTCAGTAAAAAGTACACAAACTACTGAGATCCGAAAGAAAGAAAATATTACTGATAAATGTGTTCAGTGAGGAGGATAATGAATGGTAAAGACTGGAACATTTTAAAGTTTTGTATATGCTAGTTTAAGAAACAAAATTATCTCTTCAAAACAGCTTATCAAGAAAACAAATCCCAAGAGAAATTTAAAGGCATACTTCCCGCTACCTTTTGATTCAATTTTAAGAACTTACTTTTAATCATAGATTTCCCCTATTCTTACAGACTTTAGGTTAACTACAGCATCATTTCATAATTCCTATGATTTGACTGGACCACAGCAGTTAGTCAAAGCAGTCTTTAAGGAAAGAAATACAGGGTTTAAAAGTTTACTAATTATCTTCCAGGGTCAGTGTTGTGGCATAGCGGGTTAAGCTGCTGCCTACAACACCAGTATCCCCTATGGGAGCTGATTCAAGGCTCAGCTGTTCTACTTCCAACCCAGTTCCCTGCTGATGTGAATGGTAAGGCAGTGGAATGTGGCCCAAGTACTTGGGCCCCTGCACCCACATGGGAGGCCCAGATGAAGCTCCTGGCTATGGCCCAGCCCAGAACTGGCCATTTGAGGAATGAACCAACAGATGGAAGATCCTTCTCTCTCTTTCTCTCTGTAACTAAGCCTTTCAAAAAAATAAATTTTTAAAAAGTAAAAAAAATAAAAAATGGTATAAAAGAATAAAAGATCTCAGTGCCTCAATGCAAAGACTGCTTCAGTTCTAAAAGTGAAAAAATTTCCAGCAAATAAGGACCAAGTGCATTGAATATAAAATTTCGTATCACATATATGCTTCAGTAAACCATCTGTGTAGTCAATGGACTTACTGGACTTAGTGGAAAATCAATTAAGTTGAAAAGTAAGCAAGTAATTATAGTACCATACAATAAATGTCCTTTTGAGAGTATGGAGAAGGGCCTTTGGTGGTCAGTAAAGATTTCCTGGAAGCAGCATCTAAGATGTGATAGAAATGATGAGTAAAGTTACCCAATAATAGTAAATGAGACAGAGGAAGCAAATACAGTAACCCAAGAAAGAGAAGTGAGGTACCTTGGAGACTGAGAAAATAGCAGAGTATGAGCAACTGAAGAATGGGGGGTGTGTGTGCAGAGTATTTATCCATTCAATGTTGTCTTTGGTAAGGATGAACACAGGAGGATGAGGGAGATTTACAAAAGATTAAAAAAAGACAAATCACAGACCCAAGCAAAGGCCAAGAATATGGCCTTTTGCCAAAGGACAGTAGGACTCAATGAAAGGTTTAGATAGAGGAGTAGTAACAACTAATAAGAAATGCGATGAACTAGGAGAGAATGGCGAGATATATTCCAAGTCTCAAGAGAAAAAAAAACTTAACCCAGGATATTATACCCTGGAAAGCTCACATTTATAAATGAAGGTGAAACAAAGATCTTCCATAACAAAGAAAATTCAAAGAATTTGTCGCCACTCATCCAGCCTTACAAATGATGCTTAGGGATGTGCTATACACAGAAACACAAAAAGATAGACATCATTATGAAGGAATGTGGAGGCAGAAAAAACTCCTGGTAAAAGAATAAATGAAATTCAATGAATTTAATAGGAATATTTATGTTAAACTGGCAGGACCAATTTATCACTTGTAACCATAAATGTAAATGGCCTAAATTCTCCAATTAAATGGTACAGACTAGCTGAACAGATTAAATAACAAGATCCACCTTTCTGCTGCATTCAAGAAACACCTCACCAACAAAAGACTGAAAGCAAAAGGACAGAAAAAGATATTCCATGCTAATGGAAAGCAAAAACAAGCAAGTATAGCCATCCTAATAACAGATAAAATAGACTAACACAAAAACTATTCAATGAGACAAAGAAGGGCATTTTGTAATGATTAAGGGACCTATTCAACAGAAAGATGTCATTATAATAAATGTATATGCACCCAATGCCAGGGTGCCCAGCTATTTAAACAAATGTTAATATATCTAAAGTGAGATATACACTCTAATAGTAATGGGGGGCTTAGACACACCATTTTCATCAATGGACAGATCAACTAGACAGAAAATCAGAGAAACAATATAGCTAATCTATATTATGGAGACCCAATGGATCTGATATCTAGAGAACAATTCATCCCACAGCTGAAGAATACACATTCATTTCATCAGTTCAGGGAACTTTCTCTAGGACAGACCATATGCTATGCCATAAGGCAACTCTCAGCAAATTCGAAAAAACTGAAGCCATACTATGTATCTTTACCAACCACCATGGAATGAAGCTGGAAATTAACAACTTAAGAAACTCTAGAAAACATGCAAAAACACAGATTGAACAACATGAACAATGGGATCACAGAAGAAATCAAAAAAGAAATCAAAATATTCCTGGAAAGGAATGAAGTAGATAATACAACATATGAAATCTTAGGGGATAAAGCAAAAGCAGTGTTAAGAGGGAAGTTTATAGCAGTTAGCGCCAAAATCAAGAAATTGGAAAGGCATCAAATAAACAAGCTATCAATGCATCTCAAGGATCTAGAAAACAAGGATCAAGAACAAATGACACCCCAAATTAGCAGGAGAAAAGAAATAGTAATTAAAATTAGAGAAAAGGAGCTGGGAAGGACACCATCTGTAGTGCAAGCATTCCATATAGGCACCAGTTCGAGTCCCAGCTGATCCACTTCTGATCCAACTCTCTGCTATGGCCTGGGAAAGCAAAGAAGATGGCCTGAATTCTTGGGCCCCTGCACCTGCAAGGGAAACCCAGAGGAAGCTTCTGGCTCCTGGTTTCCAATCGGCACAGCTCCAGCTGTTGTGGCCATATGGGGAGAAAACCAGTGGATGGAAGACCTCTTTCTCTCTTTCTTTCTCTCTCTCTCTGCGTAACTTCTCTGTAACTGTAACTCTACCTTTCAAATAAATGAATAAGTATTTTAAAAAAATTAGAGAAGAAACAAAATTGAACTCCCCCCCCCCAAAAAAAAACTACATAAAAGATCAGCAAATGAGAAACTGGTTTTTTGAAAAAATAAACAAAGTTGAGATACCACTGGCCCAAAAAAAGACCCAAATCAATAAAAGTAGAGATGAAAAAGAAAATGTAACAGCAGACACCACAGAAATAAAAGAATCATCAGAAATGACTACAAAGAGCTGTATGACAACAAATTGGGAAACCCAGAAGAAATGGATAGATTTTAAAACAAATACAACCTACCTAAAATTTATTTATTTATTTTTGACAGGCAGAGTTAAACAATGAGAGAGAGAGACACAGAGAGAAAGGTCTTCCTTCTGTTGGTTCACCCCCAAAATGGTTGCTACGGCCGGTGTGCTATGGCCGGCGCACCGCACTGATCTGAAGCCAGGAGGCAGGCACTTCCTTCTGGTCTCCCATGCGAGTGCAGGGCCCACGCACTTGGGCCATCCTCCACTGCCTTCCCGGGCCACAGCAGAGAGCTGGCCTGGAAGAGGGGCAACCGGGACAGAATCCGGCGCCCCAACCGGGACTAGAACCTGGGGTGTGGGCGCTGCAGGCAGAGGATTAGCCTAGTGAGCCGTGGCACCGGCCAACCTACCTAAATTTAGCCATGAAGACACAGAAAACCTAAACAGACCAATAACCAAGACAGAAATTGAATCAGTAGTAAAGACTCTCCCAAAAAAATAAAGCCCACTGCTGAATTCTACCATACATTTAAAAAAGAACTAA